AAAGGTTTTCCTCTCTGCCAGCCCCCAGACACCCATTTTCCCCAGACACACTCTTTCATTACTTTGTGTCACTGAGAGAGGGCCTGTCAAGTCTGTCCCAGTCACTGGGGTTTTTTTACATTTGCGGACAGTGGAGCAGAGAACGGTGGCTGGAAGGCGCTGGTCCAGCCTGACGTGCTCCGAGTCACGTGTCTCTTGTGTTCACAGTGTGAAGCAGCACGAGCGCTATGGCCAGTTGACGCTGGTCAACTCCACCTCGGCGGACACGGGCGAATTCAGCTGCTGGGGGCAGGTCTGCAACGGCTACATCTGCAGGAGGGACGAGGCCAAAACAGGCTCCACCTACATCTTCTTTACAGGTAAAGCGTTGGCAGCATTCGTAGAACTCTTCACACTTCTGAACTTGGCTCTGAACTGAAGGTCTCCACTGCATGCTGAGTAGCAAATGGTGACGAGAAGCACACTCACCGTTTGCCAGGCCCTATGCTAAATGCTCTACATCCATGATTTCACATAAGCCTTACAACCGCCCTTCAGGGTAAGGACTGATAGTATTTTCTTTCTTTTTTTTTTTTTTCACATGGGAAAGTTGATGTGACGCTATGGCAAATGTTGGAATTCTGCCATCATCACCAGTTGTCAGGCTCTTTTACCTGCCAATAATCCTGCTGACTGGGCCAATTGTCAAGCTAGGGCTGGGTCTGGAGCTCACAGACCCCTCAAGCCTGTTGTCCAGGCTGGGTCACATACCTTTCATATGCCAGGCTGGGTCACCAGACCCCTTCACACAAGTCTATGAGCTAGGTAACTGACCAAAAGGTCCTTGGAAGCCATAAGTTGGAAAAGCATGGCTGCACAGTGTGGCCACCCAGGGCACAAGAATGCCAGCCAGCCTGCCTCACAAACTCTGAAGAACACAAGAATAGCAGCAAAACTAAAAAGATACATTGGCACGCATGCGCACTAACTACACACACACTCACACACACACAATTTGCTTACAAAGGATGTGCTGAACCACACCCAACTGGGCCTGAGGTGAGGGCCCTGACCAAATCATTCTATTTTCCCAACAGTTGAGGTTTAGAGAGATGAAACAAGTCCTTAAGGTCACACAGCAAGTAAGTGGTGGTACCAGGATCTGAACTAGAATTGTCAGATTCCAGGGTCTGTGCCTGAACTGTCCAATATGGTACATTTCAGGTGAAGCCAGAATCCTTTCTTAGTGTCTGGGCAGGGGCTTTCATGAGATTTGTCTACACCCTTTGTCCACCTACTTTTCAGACCCAGACCCAGAGTGACTTAGGTCTGTGACCCAGCTGATCTTATCTCCTGGCCATTAATGAATACTTTAGCAAAATATCATGTATTT